GACTTTGTAGCCACTGTGCAGACAAAAGTGGTTTTATGTCTTAATGTCATGTTATAGTCACTTTAAATTTGTCTCTTCTTGTGCAAAAAAACCCCAAAATTTGGTCGATACTAAGTGTGATGAATCCTCGCATGTGATTTTATTAATTCGTCCTTACGTCACAACTTTTTTCTGCATGAACAGTTTACAATATATGTGCATGTTACTTAACAGAACGTATCCAACATAGTTGAAAAATATGTTTAGTGACCTCTGTGGAGAGAGAAAGGTCGCCAACACCGCCGTCCCCTCTCTCTGTGTGATGCTTTAGGAGGTGTTAATCCTTCACAGACACAACCACACACAGATTATGCCTGAGGTTTCCTCAGCTATAGAAGTAATATAACACTCGGGCTCTGTAACACTAACATCTGTCTGTCATTAGGGAAAGACAAACGGACACATACTGGGGAGCCAGAAGCACATACAGTAGAGGCAAGATCACAGTTACCTTGCCCCGCAACAGCCTCACACTTACTACTGACACACATGCACTTCATATGCACTCACACAGTTCTGCTAACTCGTGTCAGGGAGTCACACATAAAGCATTTTCTCTTAAAAGGAAAAAAAAAAAGATTAAACCAATAGCAGGACTTTGCTGTTAGCTTTGAACTGTATACACAGAATACTCACTTAAACAGCCTGTGAGTCCCTTATACAGACCTGCTATCAAACCTACAGCATGGAACAGCAACATCCTCACACAAACATCTTTTAACACTCCTAAGATAACATAAAATACAACTTTATTATTCCTGAAGGAAAATCTTTTGCCATATATTGCTCAGAAAAAGCAAAACACATATGAAATGCAGTGCCGAAGAAGTACAAAAAGATAAAAAGAAAGCTGTAATTTCAATCATATGATGAGTAAATGGATCAGTTTGGGTTTAGTTTTTGGTTAAATCAGGAAGCTATCCGTCTCTAAAGAGAATTATTTATTATTTCTCACTTGAAATTAGTCAGAATATTTGCTGTATTTGCAGAATATTTGCTTCTCAGCACTGTGCACACATGCTTTCATTATACAAAATAGTTGTATGCAGCACGCATGAGCACTTTTCATCCAGCGTTTGTTTCTTTCCTTGTCACTCCTATGCTGGAACCTGTGTGTAAGTGTCTACATCCATGTAATGTCACTTCCCGTTAGATGCAGCATCCGTCTCTGGCGACAACAACAGATGGACGTCATGATAACAACCATTGTTCATCATCACCACGGTGACAGGTCCACAGTGGCTTTGCATTGCTGGGCTGTCACGAGCACAACCTCGACGACATGCAAGATTAACTTCTCTAGCTGATAGACCACAGAACCAAACACACACGCTCAGACACATGCCTGTGTACAAACAATACGCTGAGTTTATTGTGGGTTTTTATGTGTCTGTGCTGTGGTTGTGTCTTCACAAGCAGGTTTTTTGTGTTTTAATCAAGTCACACAAAACAATAGTGGTGCTCTGTGGTTTGTCAAGTCAAGTAGTTTTTTAAAGGGTATCAAAAAATATGTTTTTAATCCTATAAACTACTGAACTACAATTGAAAAAAAATCTTAGTAACACAGTGCAGAGTTAAATAACATCTGTCTGTCTCTTCATTAGTTGTGTTTCCTCATAACTGTTAAGTGATTTGGAAATGAGCTTTTGAGATTTCTCAAAAATAAAATAAATTGCGAAGCCTTTTTTTTTCTTTTTCTTTTTTAAATGCCTGATTTGGAGCAAATATACTAGACTGTAGTGTCATTAAAATGTGGTCATAATAAACAGAGCAGAGGAAAGCAGGCAATTTGGAAATATTCATTCGTGTCGTCTTGTGTTGGACAAGTTCTGTGCTGTCCGGAGACTACCACAGCCAGAGAAGTGAGAATAACTTATCAGTCATGTGAGTTAAATGTTTGTCACGAGTTATCTGAAAAAGGTGTTTCTATTTGTTTGTGTACCCTTACTCTTAGAGAAAGTGAAAAACCACTTTAAGTGAGCGTTTTTTAGAAGGGGGGGGGCCAAAAAGTGCAGTTCCTCGAACGGCCACTGGAAGCTGACTTTAATAGTGAGTCCATCTCCATAGACTCCTATGTTAAAACGTCCAACTTTACCGGCGTAAAGAACAGCCTGGGGCAAAAGATGGTTATGATCTCTATGGGTATCCATTCATGATAACTGCACAAAGTTTATCATTTATGTTGTGTTAAGGCTTAAAGTTATCTATAAATAAGGGTGGAATCACTTTCACGGGCGGGTTTCGTCACAGGAACGTCCATTAACAGCCTCAGCTCCACTCAAGCTCCACCGCTTTGCTTATTTTTGGATTAACCGTGAGTTAGTCGGGCAGTGCCAAGATTGCGACAGCTGGAGCTGCCACCGCACAAACCAGAAAACCCGTGTGTGACGCCGCGGAGGGCTCGTCTGTCTTTACTTACAGTCTGTGTAACAATCAGTTCTACTCCATTCTTAAAATACGAACGGTAGTGCAACTTTTGCAGATTACGCTCGGCCTGTTTCAACCTCCTCTTGCTGTGCATTCGCGACGTCTGCTAGTGTTTACAAATCAGTTTCACAGGGGCAACTCAGAGTGTAGTTCTTGCTCAAGGGCACCCCGACAGCAGCTGTGGTGTGATAATGAGAGTGTGTCTCGTTTACTTCCCTTTAGCCAGCTTTTCTACACGATTGTAGAGATTTAAACGAAGGATGTGCGCCTCCTGAAAGTTCGGAACAGGTAGCGTGACTTAAGGAAACAGCAGGACTGTAGGTTTACAGATAATGAGCCAAGATTTCCTCCCTATCCATTCCTGTTTTGGTAGGAGACTGGGAATGGATCCCTCTTTCTTTTGTTTCTCCTCTGTCTCCTTTTTGATTGTTTTCATGTTTCCCTTTGAATTACCTCGCATCTGGCATGTTTTCCCCTCCTTTGTCCATTTCGAGCTTGTGCTTGTGCGAGTTAGGCTGTACATGTGTGTTTGTGTTGGCATGTTTGTGTGCTGCTGGACTGAATAAATTCTGCCGGGTATTCATTGGGGGCTGAGAAATCCTTACCTGCAGTTACATCTGTCTTACAGTCACACACACACACACACACAGAGTTGAGCATCATCGACTACAGAGTGATGGTAAAAGTGATGAAGGGATGGCAGGAGGAGAGAGAACGGTGTTGAGGAGCGATGATGAGAGCGCTGCTCTCACCCGAGGTGCTTCAGGCAAAGAGAGAGAGTGAGAGAAATTGTAGAGGGCCAGACTTATAAGGGGGAGGATTGGTGAGAGAGTGGAGACCGAATGATTAGTATGAGTTTTCTCCCACTGGAGGAAACACATGGAGCGAGGGGGAGAGTGGTGGGGGGTGGGGGGAGGGAGCACTGAGGTAGACGTGGAAAAGGCAAAGAAAATGAGAGAAAAGAGGATTTGGAGATTCCGGAGAGCCCTTTGGCAGAGGAAGAGAGAGGGAATCAGGTGAAAACATAAATGAGAGGATGGTAGAGGGACAGGGCCAATGATTACAGGATTTTATGGATCAGAAGCGCCTTGAGTGAACAGAGAATGAGCAAGAGATGGGCAGAAATGTACCACAGGGAAGGGAAAGAAGTGAAGAGATAAACAGATGTAAGGAATAGAGTTTAGAGCCACCAGAGGTGTGCAGGTGAAGGACGGGGCTTCGATAGACGGAATATCAGGAAAAAAAGAAAAGTCAAAACCGGACAAGGAGGAAATCGCCACCTTCAAACACTTCTACCCTGATGCCTCTATTTCACCTCCCCTCCTGCATCTGTGTTTACTTTTCTTGCCGCATCGTCTCTTTTCCGCTGCTTTGTTCGTTTTCTTTACCTTTCCATTCTTTCCACGAGCAGAGCCTGTCAAGCTAACTTTTGCAACTCGTTCCATCTTTGTGCATTTGACACACATATTGTACATATTAAGAGATTATTTTTTTCCCTGCGTTCAAGCATCAAGTTGCTTTTGCCTACATCCCGAAGCTGCATATGTCTGTCAAGCTATAATAATGTCTGTGTGTGATAGCAGAGCAACTAGGCTGTCTGCTCGATACGTACAGATCTGGCCTAAGGACACAGAATCCAGCCCTGTACATACTAACAATGAAAAAAAAAAAAAAAAAAACGGAGGGAGGGAAGAGGAGGGAGAACAGCACTCCCTTTAGCTAGAGCAGCGTATACATATATCCTTCCCCTTTAGCCAGACGTGGCCTAATCAGCGAGCTAATTAGCGCTCTCTGTAACTGCGTCAGCCTCATGTAACTGATTGCATTAACAACTGCCACACATCAAACAGTCATGTCTCACGCTTGTGCATCTCATTACACATTAAGGACATGCAAGGTTAAGGCCAGACTTTCGCAAGGAAATAAAATGAGGAATATTTTCTACCACAGCTGCTGATACAAATAAACGTATTCCCCCCTCTATATATTTAATGAATTACTGTAGGCGTAGTTGTCAGCCGTGGCAATTTCTTTCCTTCTGTTAAAGTCACCCAAAGAGTTAATATGAGTGAAATTGTACTGTGTGTCCATATTTTTACCATATGCCATTTCTTCTTTCTTTGTGAAACAAGCAGAGGAGGAGGAGGAGGAGGAGGAAATAACAATGTTCTAGATCATGAGTGAAGAAATGAATTGTGTTACAGGTCCAAAACAAAGCAAGAGAATTCAAAAAATGTTCCCTTCATAGCATTTGTTGTTTTCATTTTGCCTAAATCTGAGTAGTTTAGTGACAGAAGACATTTTTTGTTAAATTATTTTATGCAATTCTTTGATATAAAGCAAGTGTTTGATATACAATCCATCGAAATGAATGGCTTTTAATTTGCTGTCAGTCATTCTACAGTTAAATCTAAATAAAGTGAAAAACAAGGTTCAGCTTTTGCTTTTCTTCGCTTCAATGTTTGTAGCTGAGTGTGTAGTGGATTTTTTAAAAACTAAACTTAGCTTTTCTTCTATGTCTTGTTTTATTTCAGAAAAAGCAAAGGACTAAAGAGCTCTCACAACTCTTCCACTCCTACAACCCGTACGACCACGAGGTAAGATCCTTCAGTGTAACTCCCCTGCCTACAGTCAAAATGCATCTTGCGGTATGAACGTTGGTTTTTCCGTCACGGTTCAAAACATTTTTGCTACAGCAGAGAAAACTTTTTGTTAAATCAAAATATTTAAAACTGCCTAATCATCCATAGTTACTGTCTGCAAAAAAAAAAAGACTTTGAGCTGTTTTAAATGTCCATTAAGACAAGTTTCACAGATTCATAATCAATTTCAAATAGTTGTTTCGGCCAGTCGACTTGCCCAGGGTGTCCCCTGCCTTCGCCCTAAGTCAGCTGGGATAGACTCCAGCCCCCCCGCGACCCTAGTGAGGATTAAGCGGTGTATAGATAATGGATGGATGTTTCGGCCAGTGGTGCAATTTCAGCATTAAAACTTGCAGAAAGTAACACTAAGTGGAAGAGTCATTTTGTTTGGAAAAGCTTTATTGGACTGTCAGCGGACAAAAGCAACTGGTGCCATGTTTTGTTTTACATTCAGCATGAGTCCCAACTTTGTGGTCGGTCAGCATTGTGAGGAAAGAAGTCAAATCAAACATCAAATCAGATTTATTTATTTAGTATAACAACCTGAGTCGACCGAAGTGCTGCACACGTTATCTGACAGGCAGCGACACAGTTATGTGAAAAACAGCATCAAGACAGGACAAAACTAAAAAAAAATCAAATTGTAATACACAATATAATAGAATAAATTGTAAAACAGGAGAAGCCAGATAGCGACTTGTAAGATCCATTTCCAAAAAAAATAAAGAAATTAAATATTAGGGCTATTAACAGCACCCCAAAATGACTGAAAACGTGCATCTGGAGGGTTTCAGTTTCTGTCAATGCAGGACGCTGCGTTTACACATTATACATGTTTAATAAAACCAGCAGCGTGGAAAATTCATGTTGACACACATTCAGCATCATTCACCTCTAAAGCAGAAGCCTTTATTTGACATCAGAAGTATCCGCCGTAGGTCACCATCACACCATCGTATTTGTGGCTGTGATGGGTTTGTCGCCTCCTTAAGACGGACACCTCTTGTCAGCAATCTGGTGGATGAGGACGGCTCAAGTGTTTGTTCCTGATTACATTGTGAGTGTGTGTGAGAGAGATTGAATTCTGAAGTCAGAGATAAATCTAATCAGCTGTCTGTGTGTGTGTCTGTATATTCCAACATTCGTACATTATCAGGTTAACATCTGACAGCAGACTGAACCTGTCACACTTCAGACAGTTACGACGAGGAGACTCTTGTGACTGCAGTTTGTGCGCTGCCTTCTTATATGAAGACGTCCTCGTGAAACCCCGTGACGACAGCTGTCACCACGTTATACTCCCATTGTGAAAAGACAAATTATATTTTCACATACACGAGTATTGTGAGCTCTTACTTATAGTTAGAGAAAACTATGTGTCTCCCTTCCCGTCATAATGTTGGTCAGTCAGGCGTTTCCTCCAGTGTCTCAGTTGTGGTGCAAACACGACTTATGCTGAACACACTCTCATCATAAAACGGCAAAATGTTGTGGAAAGCAGTTGGCAGCTTGCTCTTGCAGAGTGAAGGCTTTGAACATGTTGGAGGTTGAATCCTGCCTCGCAGGTGTGACACTGTGTTATTTAGCAAAGCTTTAGCTAAGCCAAGTTTCTTGCAGACTTTATTCCCAGAGCCTGTAGTGCACGGGTTAATGTTACACACTAATTAAAAGGATATGAGAGAGATCACGTTTTCTCTGTGGCAGACAGGCATCTCTGCCTCCCACACTCAGAAACTAACACACACACACATGAAGGTACACTAATAATAGTACACGTGGGACAAACACGTACATAAAAGAGTGCAAAAGACTCCGGCTAACACAAACAGGAAATGTGAATTGAACAAAGTTAACAGAGACTGTCTTAATAATTAATTAACACATTTGTGTGTAAATGAGGAACTCTGATTTTGTGAACATGCCCAAGTAAGATTCTCAGAGGAACTGAAGAGCTCCATGGCTCAAATATTAGTCAACTCTTTGCTCTTTTGCACCTTTTTTGCTCATGAGTCTGTCCTTTATGAATGTTTAAATGATCTAGGAGTACATTAAGCTACTGAAACATCCCATTACACCCAAGTCCATGTCCATGGATGTATGTTTCTGCATCAACCCTTGAATTACACTTGCATAGACGCACATATAACACAGATTTGGTAACAAGTTGTCACGGTACACGAAGAGTATCAGTTTCTGAAATCTCTCCTGCAGTAGAACCCCCTTGTGAAATAGCTATCTGTGTGCATGTTTGTTTTCTGTCAGCTGTAAATTTGGGCTTTTTTGTGGGGATACACAGCGTACAGGGGGTTTCATTCTCAAAAGATGGATGTTGTGTGAAGCACCACTTTAAAGGCTCTGTATGCTCTCTGCAGTTCTCAGACAACTTAATTCATTTCTGAGCTTGTGCGCGGCTTGAGCTCCTCGGGGAGGAAGCCCATGTCCATTCCAAAGTTAAGGCTAAAGATAAAAGATGGCTGCAGTCAGAGCCCCAGACCTTCTGAAATGCCCGCTTTTTTAGGAGACAAGCAAGAAAAATCAGCTTAGTATTTGTAGTGACATTTTTCATTTGTATTTGAAACATTTCTGCTTCTTGTTAACAGCTATGTTGAAAAAAAAAACAACCAAAAGCCAAATTAGGATGATTGTAAAATTGCATTTGATAAAACTCTGCTTTGATACGTGACATTTGTCTTTTTTTTTTTTCTGAGAGCAGAGGCGGAGATGTGTTTTTAGACAAATTTCTTGAAGCTTGGAGGTGGAGCATGGGCAACAAAAGAGGAGTCTGCTCACAAAGCTCCTTCTAGATGCTATACAACATCTTCTTAATCCTTAGCAGTGCAAAATGTCAACTAACTTGTTGATAAACTTGCCTGTTTCATTATATTCGGTGAATAAAATGTGTCAGAAGTAATCCAGTCCTGTTACATCCCTCACGTTATCATTATTTTGAGCATGTCAGGTTTCTTGTAAATCTCCAAAGCAGCTCAACTTACAGCCACATTACTGCAGGTCTTATTCCTTTTCCATAGATTGTGTAAATGTGCAAATAAATCCCCTTACATTACAGACCCGGATAGCCGTGAGATATGATTTAATGATAACAAATCTAATGTCAAGCATGCTTCCTCCCAGATCAAGCACGGTTCTGCCTGTCCTTGCCCGTGTCCATACACTGTGGAAATGTTAAAGCAAATCAGCTTGTATTAAGCCCATATAGCCGTTAGATAGAAATAAATGAAGTCTGATAATGTCCCTCATTTTACCGTAAATTCCCCTGGGTGTCTGGCCTTTCAGCTTACGCTTTATGTAAGGATATTATGTGTTTACCAACACATCCATGCGTGTGTGTGTGTGTGTGTGAGAGAGAGAGATAAAGACAGGAGTGTGTTCACAGATTTAGATGGAAGGGAGAAATTGGTGTTTTTACATCCATTGTTGTTAATGCGTATCCTCCTATAGGTATGAAAAGGTCATTAATAAAGAGTGAGTCGGGGAGAGGGTGCTGGGTTAGCGCGGCTTTATTGTAGCTGCAGGCTACCAAACCAAATGAAACCATGTTTTTAAATGAACTAATTGTTGTTTTTGTACCAAGCTTGTTTCTTAATCTCCCATGACTAACTCTGAATTATAAATTGGAAAAATGGCGAGCTAAAACGAAAACGGGCCGTCAAAGAGAATTTCCTTTCTTTCTTTTCTTTGTCTTCTCATATTTTCTTTCTTTCTTTCACTTTGTCTGTGCATATTAAACAACACTGTGTGTTCATATACATTGCATATAGACAGTTGCACTTATCTGGTGTGTGTATATTGAAGTGATGGAAGTGTGTATGTGTGTGTGTGTGTGTTTGTGATGATTAATGTGAGGTATCCTTTAGCCAGATGGTGCTGAACAAGGCCCATCCATCAGCAATGAAAAGACCAGTGGGCAGAAAGCTGGCAGAGCACTTTGTCTAGGGCCAGTGCCCCCACCGGACACACTCACAAACACACACACACAACACACACGCACACTCTCTTAGGCTTTGACTGTATAACCCACTGAGCCATACTGGAGCCTCGTGTTTTGTTTTGGAATCCAGGTTCTCGCTTGTTTTTTTTTGCTACCTCGGTCCCACATGAGTGGTGATACCTCACCCCTGAAAACAAGTCTGCTGTGGTGTTGACATATGCAGGTCTTCAACCTATTATAGTCCCCAGACTGAGCTTAAAGGTCAAGTAGTTCCGTTTTTTACAATTCTAGTGCACAATTTGTTTTCATATTGATTCCTGAAAGCATAAGCGGGACTGTTAACCAGTAGGCACCTTTAAAGGTCCAATGTTGTCCCACTTTTCAGCAAATGTATGAAGGTCTCATCTGTGTCGTTCAACTTTTTAGCTCAAAATCCTACAAAGATAGACAAGCTCCTGTGTATGATAAGTTTATCAGACAACGTTATGAAATCGGTAGTTTATGGGTACAGTGCAGCAGCTTGGGAATTGTATGAATTTTTACCTTGATCAGTATTGGAGCATGGTAAAATTCTTTCTGGTTTGTAAAACTAGGAGGCTGTTTAGCTGATGGGGGTTGGAAGAATGGTCGTAGTAAGCATCTTCATGTTTTCACAGCTTTTATTTTACACCTCCGACATGCAAAACACAATAAAAATGGATTTTCACCATATGGGATCCTTAAAAACCAACCAAAGGAAGCAGCTATATGAGGATATTTGCAGTTTTCTTGCGCCAACTTTCCTCCTTTGTCCTCATTTATGTACTCATTTAGCAGAGCTAGTGTTCTCAACTTTTGGTTAGATTCAGGTTGTTAGTGGAAGTCTGTTCTGTGTTTATTTGGAAGATTTCACGTCAGCAACTTCAGTCTAATTCCTGCTCCCCTTACCTGTGGGCCTGTTCTTTTTTGCACTCCCCTTTAATTATGTCTGTTTTAATTCTCTGCAGTCAGCGATGCCTCCCTCTTG